TTAACCATCACCTCAGGGGGTTCTAGATTTCTTTACTATTGTTTGCAAAGATTTCATTTTAAAAAAGCCCTCTGAAATGATAAGTTACACTCAGCCTTAGCTTTTAAAAAAATCTATTATCTTGTTGAGTCTTTTGAAGAACATATAGTGCTCTCTCCCTCAGAACCTTGAGAGATCAACCTTATTTATCTCTAATTTGAAGAATAAAAATACCCAGGAGGCCCAGAGAAAGGCAGACTCATAAAATGCTGTTTTCATCAGCACCTGTGTCACTGCCAGGGTATTTTGGAGAGCATCCAGGGTATTAGAATGTGTTGATTCAGGAATTTTATTTTGCTTTAGGTTTTTTTGTTTTTAAATTCATTTTCTACATATAGTGAAAATCATAGTGGTGACTTTGCTTCTCAGAGGAAACTCAAAAAATGGTTCTTTATATGAGTTCATTAGTCTCTTGACCTCTATGCTGGGTTGTTTAGAACAAGGCTAGAAAGAGATTAAAGGTTTTGCATGGAGCAGTTTACCCACCCTTGTTCTACTCTCCTTGGGAACCTCCACACTGGTCCATGAGAGCACTAGTGGGGGCTGTGAAGTGGAAAGCAGCTTTTCTCTGTGTGAGGATAGCTGACCCAATCTGCGCACTTTAAGGTCTTTGCAGAACAAGACAGAGAAATATAAATAACTGCCCCCAGTGGGGATCAACAGGCAAGGCTGGCCTCATTAGCACTGGTGAAAGCCGACTGAGTGGCCTCCCCAGAGGTCCAGCCACTCAGGAAAATCTGTTTGAGATCTTTCCACCACTTTACGTTACAAGTTTGTTTAGAGAATCCCAGTTGTTTTTGAAGAGGAAGCAAAGAGCTTGATCTATTAAGTCTAGTTCTGTCCAGAATGAAAAATGTTTCTACCTGGAAAGCCAAGGGATGAGATCTGGTGAACTATTTTCCAGAAAAAACAAATTTTATACTTTTCCAGAGATATAAACATAATATAACAATGTTTAATTTTATTATATATGATATTTCTGAAGAAACAGCAGAAAAAAATTGTTTTTGGATAATTTTAGGCAAAATTCTTTTAGCCAATTTAGCTATGCCTGGCAGTCTATCAGTTGGCTTAAACCATAAAGGTTCCATAATTTTCTAACAACTTTCTTTGAACATAAGTGCGAAAAATGGATATTTGTTGATTCTTTCAAATATATTCCTGCATAGGAGCCAAAGTAATCTTTCCTATTCCATTTAGTAACAGCTTTTGCCAGAACAACCCCTCTTGACAGGTAGACATACAGCTAAAGATCTGAGGAGATATGGGATCTATTGAATCTGTTGTTGCTAGGTGCCATTGAGTCATCTCCAACTCATAGTGACCCCTTGCACAGCAGAATGAAAACACTGCCTGGTCCCATGCCAGCTTCACAGCCACTGTGTCAATCCATCTCGTTGAGGGCCTTCCCCTCTTTCGTTGACCCTCCACCTTGACAAGAAAAAGCACGACATCCTTCTCCAGGGAATGGTCCCTTCTGACAACATGACCAAAGTAGGTGAGACAAAGTCTGGCCATTCTCGCTTCCAAGGAGCATTCCGGCTGCACTTTCTCCAGGACAGGTTTGTTAGATCTTTTAGCAGTCCATGGCACTTTCAGCATTCTTTGCCAGCAATACAACTCAAAAGCATCAACTCTTCTTCGGTCTTCCTTATTCATTGTCCAGCTCTCACATGCATATGAGGCAACTGAAAATACCATAGCTGTCTCAGGTGCATGTTAGTACTCAAGGAGACATCTTTGTTCATCAGCCTTGAAAGAGATCCTTTGCAGTCAATGTGCCCAGTGCTATACGTCATCTGATGTCCTGACTGCTGCTTCCATTGGTGTCAATTGTAGAACCAAGCAATGTGAAGTATTTGACAACTTCAATCTTTCCTCCATTTATCTGATGCTGCTTTTAAGTTCAGTTGTGAAGATTTCTGTTTTCTTTATATTGAGATGTAATCCATACTGCAAACTGTATCCTTTAATCTTCATCAGTAAGTGCTTCAAGTCATCCTCACTTTCAGCAAGCAAAGTTGTGCTCTCAGCATATCACAGGTTAACGATTCTTCCTCCAATCCTGATGCCATGTTCTTCTTCATGTAGTCCAGCTTCTCAGATTATTTGCTCAGCATACAGATTGAAGTATGGTGAAAGCCCTGACACACTCCCTTCTTGATTTTAAACTATGCAGTGTCCCCTTGTTCTGTTAGAATGACAGCCTCCTCACGTGTATACAGTTACCTCATGAGTACAATTAAGTGTTCTGGAATTCCCATTCTTCTCAATGTTACCCATAATTTGTTATGATCCACAAAATCAAATGCTTTTGCACAGTCAATAAAACATAAATAAACATCTTTCTGGTATTTGCTTTGAGCTAAGATCCATCTGACATCAGCAATGATATCCCTCATTGCATGTCCTCTTCCGAATCCTGCTTGCATTTCTGGAAGTTCTCTCTTTCTACTGCCACTGTTTTTTGAATTATCTTCAGTAAGATTTTACTTACATGTGATATTAATGATATTTTTCAATAATTTCCACATTCTATGGGATCACCTTTCTTTGGAATGGGTACAAACATGGATCTCTTCCAGTCAGTTGGCCAGGCAGCTGTCTTCCATATCTCTTGGCAAAACTGAGTGCTTCCAGAGGGACATCCATTTGTTGAAACATCTCAATGGGTATTTTGTCAATTCCTGGAACCTTGTTCTTCACCACTTCCTTCAGTGTAGCTTCAACTTCTTCCTTCAATACCACTGGTTCCTGATCATATGAGACCTCCTGAAATGGATGAAGATCGACCAGGTCTTTTTGGTACAGTGACTCTGTGTATTCCTTCCATCTTCTTTTGATGCTTCCTGCATCATCCAATATTTTGCCCACAGAATCTTTCCATATTGCAACTGCAGGCTTAATTTTTTTCCTCAGTTCTTTCAGCTTGAGAAATGCCAAGTGTGTTCCTCCCTTTTGGCTTTCTAACTCCAGGTCTGTGCACATTTCATTATAGTAATTGGGTTTGTCTTCTCTAGCCCCTCTTTGAAATCTTCTGTTCAGCTCTTTTATATTGTCATTTCTTACATTTGCTTTAGCTGCTCTCAGCTGAAGGGCAAGTTTCAGAGTCTCTTCTGACATCCATTTTGGTCTTTTCTTCCTTTCTCATCTTTTTAATGACCTCTTGCTTTCTTCAAGGATTATGTTCTTGATTTCATCCATAATTTTTCTGGTTTTCATTCACTGGTGTTCAATGCATCAAAGCTATTCTTTAGATGGTCACTAAATTCAGGAGGGATACATTCAAGGTCATATTTTGGTTCTCATGGACTTGATTTAATTCTCTTCAACTTCAAGTTGAACTTGCATATGAGCAGTTGATGGTCTATTCCACAATCAACTCCTGGCCTTGTTTTGGCTGAAGATATTGTGCTTTTCCATCGCCTCTTGCCACAGATACAGTTAATCTGATTCCTGTGTTCTCTGTCTGGCAAAGTCCATGTGTATAGCCACAGTTTGTGTTGTACAAAAGGTATTTGCAATGAATAAGTTGTTGGTCTTGCAAAATTCTATCATGCAATCGCCAGCACTGTTTCTGTCACCAAGGCCAAATTTCTTCAAGTACTGGTGATTCTTGGTGGCATAGTGCCTAAGGCATTTGACTGCTAACTGGAAGGCTGGCAGTTCAAACCCACCAGCCTTTCCTTGGAAGGAAGGTTGGGCAGTCTACTTCCGTAGTGATACCACCTTGGAAACCCAAAGATGGGTTGCTATGGGCTGGATCTGACTCAATGGCAGTGTGTTTGGTTTTTGGTTTGGTGATTCTTCTTTGTTTCCAACTTCTGCATTCCAGTCACCAGTGATAATTAATATATCTTGACTGCATGTTCGGTCAATTTCAGACTGCAGAATTTGATAAAAATCTTCAATTTCCTCATCTTTGGCTTTGGTGGTTGGTGCATATATTTGAATAATAGTAGTATTAACTGGTTTTCCTTGTAGGCTTATGGATATTATCCTATCACTGACAGCATTGTACTTCAGGACAGATCTTGAAACACTCTTTGTGATGATGAATGCCACACCATTCCTCTTCAAATTGTCATTCCCAGCATAGTAGATCAAATGGCTGTCTGATTCAAAATGGCCAAAATCGGTCCATTTCAGCTCACTAATGCCTAGGATATCAATCTTTATGCGTTCCATTTCATTTTTGACAATTTCCAGTTTTCCTAGTCATACTTCGTACATTCCATGTTCCGATTATTAACGGATGTTTGCAGCTGTTTCTCCTCAATTTGAGTCATGCCACGTCAGCAAATGGAGGTCCCAAGAACTTTATCCATATCATTAAAGTTTTTTCTACTCTATGGAGGTAGCTCTTTCCCAGTTGTAATTTTAGTGCTTTCCGACCTAAGGGGCTGGTCTCCCTGCACTGTATTGGACAATGTTTCTGGGCTATTCATGAAGTTGCCTAGTGATGTATCAGTGTTTCTCTGCTATTCATAAGGTTTTCCCTGGTCAATTGTTGGAGAAGTGGATGGCCTCTTCTTTCTTCCTAGTCTGTCTCAGTGTGTAAGCTGCGTTGAAACCTGTGCACCATGTTCAACCCTGATGGCATTTGGAACACCAGTGGCACAGCCTCAAGTCTCACAACTACATGCAAGCCACCATAGTAGGACAAACTGACAGACAAGTTTGTCTCCCTTAGCTGTTTGTAACCTCTCCGCCCTCCCCTTACCTGGATCCCACAGCTCTGTCATCCCGGCTTTTTTCCCCTTCCTGCCTCTTGGGGTGGGGCCTGTCATCTCCCTCCCCTTATTGAACCTATGATAAAAAATAAATAAATAAATAATAAATAACTTTCCAAGTCAACTCTGAAAACTGAATGCTTGGTAATATTGCAACAAAGGAAGATAGTTCCTTCAGTTAACCAAATATACGTAACTTATAACTTGCAAAAAGGAAGTTTAAAAACATTACATTCTAAAAACGTCTGGCTGAGCAGGGATAGTAACACCCTTGAGAGTGAGCAGCATTCTTACACTGAGTTCCATGTTCTGTTCTTGTGGGGAGTTGTGGGTGTGCCACCAGAGGGTTCTCTCGCCCATGGTGCTGGGAAGAGGAGAGTAAAGGTTCCAGTACTTTCCAGTTGCCCTCAGCAGGCCAGCAATGTAATTTCCTACTGAATCTGTTACATGAGTATGTACATAAATGTTAACTTCACCCCTAATACAGCTTAACTATATTAAGCACCCCCAAAACAAACATCGAGAGCTTCAGTGGAAGATATATACCATGTTGTACCCAATACATTTAAGCTGTTCACACAATCCATTTGTTTAGAAAGTTCATTAGCTTATATATTGCTATTTTATATTTTAACCTTGAGAAATTTGTCAGGCAATCCACAGAAAATCTGAAAGTGAAACTGTATCTGTGGTTTTTGGGGAGTGAGATCTATGATCAAATAGGATTACTTTAAATAGAGGAAACAGAAAGCCTAGTATGCCATCGTGTTGCAACATCTGTCCCTTAAGACAGCAATAGCTGGTTTTTCAAATTCTGCAAAATGAGTATGTATCTGGCATCAAAACTGACATCAAATTGCAGTTTTCAGACTTAGATCACTTCCATACAAATTTGACTCTTACCAAGCCATTTCTTGTCATCAGACTGGGAAAAGATACCTGCTCTTCCACAACTGGCTATTAGCAGAGGCGAAAAGCAGCTGCTTTCTAGTCAAATGACTAAATAATTAAATAATTGCTAATTAAGTAAACAGGGTCTAAGTTCTAATCATTCAGCCCACTATCACTTCTATGCAACCTGTAGTGCCGTTTTCAATATTAAATGATCTAGTTATATGTAACTTGAGATTTAATACTTTGTTTCCCTCTGATTTTATTGATGGGTACTTCAGCATGATACTTAACCAAAATGAAGACTGGGTGTTGAAGTTTGGCCCAGCCTTACTTCTAATGCCAAACACAGCCAGTTTTGCTACATCTCTGAGCTACTTGTGAAATCCTGTCCTACATGAATGGTGTGGCCACAATCCTTTATTTTCTAGAGCTGTCAAACTCTTCTTTCCTTGAGCTGGAAAAGTGCTGCACAAAAACGAAATCCAGCTGCATTTGGAGGCCTGCAGCTCTGTGGGAGCTCTAATCAGGTAGAGTACAGCTCTGTGCTTCACAGAGCAGTTCTCAGTGCAGGAGGTAGGCCATTAAATGCTTTCTGAACTCCATTAGTTACTCCTGCTGAGAGTGAGAAAGTCCTCATAAATGCATAAAAATTATATTGCCTATGAGGTAAAGAATGAGATGGTATTTTGCTGCCAAGTATTATTTTCCAAATGGTCTACAATCACACGTACAATGCCAGAATCATAGAGTACAAATCTGTAAGGAATGCAGCCATGACTGAGAGTCATCTAGTAATGGTCGCCTGATTCTGCTTTGGGTGAAATTCCATTCTAGGATGGATTTGGGTGCAGAATGGCTCAGTCAGAGCCTCAGGGCTGTGGGGACTAGGACTGAATCAGAGATGGCACAAGACCAGGTCAGGGCACCGAGGGGCAATCTTGGGCTGCGAAGGACAATTGAGAAAGATGTACTCTTTTTCCTTCCCTTGGCTCACCCTGAATCTGGCAGAAGATGGGCCTGGGGTCTCAGGCAGCTGCTTTGTCATTATATATATCTGTGAAGGCAAACAACATAGAGTAAAGCTGAGAGCTTGTGAGACACTCGTTTCTTAGGGTGCTGCTGAGAGTCCCACAATCCATATTATACATCTGATTTTTCAGTTATATGGGTCAATAAATCCCCTCACTGAGTTTCCTTTCACTTATCTTTCATTTGCATTCAAAATAACCCTAGTTAATAAACAAGTACAATGGAGAATTCTATGTTTTTGTCTTCTAAGAGACTAACTTATTCTACAGATAAGGACAGCCACTGAGTCACAGGTAAGTTGCTCATCAAAGTCTTCTTCAAGTGGCATAGCCAGGACTAGAACCCAGGCCTTCTGCTTTCTCATGTCATGTTCTTACTCTACCATGGGAAAAAAAATGAGTTAAAAAGTAATTAGGGAACACAATGGACTCGTTTAAACTTTTAACTAAAACTTTGCTCCAATTAAAAATTTACTTATTGGGCGTTATGCTTTTTTTTTTTTTTAAAGGTTCATAAATTTAACATTTTACTTTGCACTGATACCTAGAATACAAACAACTTAAAAACACATTAATAAACTATATTGCTGAGAAATGATTTTTTAAAAAGCATTTATAGATTTGGTATTTTAAGTCACTTTTTGTGCTGTTAACTTGTAAGGTGGACAACTTCAAAATACAGAATAAATTTCTGAGAAACGTGCTTGTGGTCTGCTGTAACTGCAACAGAAATAGCCCAACAAAATAGCTTAAAATGTTTTATTAAGTATATATAATAATACAGGGTAATATTTACAAAGTTATGTTGTTTAAATAAAAAAGTATCTTGGCAAAGATTGCAGATATTCAAAGCTTCAAACAGTGATAAATTGATTTAAAACATATTTAAAAAAAAAAAAAAACCTTTAACGGTAACAACACAGCTGTAAAACAACTTTGGTCTTTAAATCACTGCAAAAAATGGCTACTGACAAATAGCACACCTTTAATTGCTATGCAAAAGAGCCCCCAAGAGAGGATCTTGCGCAGCAACACTGGAGTTTTATTTATTTAGAATGTTTAATGGATATTTATATGATGTGGGATCCAACCCTCAACAATGGCTTTTTGTAAATAATGCTCTGTTTTATAAAAAGCAAAAATGTTTTCCTCTCTCTCACCAACCAAAATACCACTTTTAAAAGTCCACTGATGTTGCCTTGCAGAGCTTATTTCAATTTTCCTCCCCCCAAAATGGTCTGTATCTATGGGAAAGGTGATTTTACACAATCATAATTAAGAGCCTCCAAAAGCCAAACACAGAAAAACTTCCCCTCCCCTGCTTATCTCTTAAAATTTATCTGGATTATCTTATTAGCCACTGAAAATGACTTAACAGAGGACTCCAGTGAGTGATGGCTGTTAGTGATTTTGCAAGTATGACACATGTAAAAAAAAACAAGTAATATTGCTAAACAAACTCTCAAATGAAATACAATAAAGGTAAAAGGTTGCCCAACAATCATTTCTCCAGTTTCCAACAACAGATAAAGAAGTATGTATTTCCATACATGCACCACAGATCCCCATTTTTGAATACCCACCTTAGGACAAAACAAATCAATAAGATGATACAGACTTTTATTCTTATTGAGGAAATGGAGAAGTAAACATCATTTTCAGAACTTCACTAACTCAAACCACAATTTAGTTGGTCATTTACTAAATAAATTCAGCATCCTGAAAAGAGCAACACTCCCAATTTCAGGATCGCTCCATATTTAATTCTGACATTATCAGGAATTTAAACAGAACAGACCTGGCGTTTCCAGGTGAAAAATCATCACCTGTTAAGGTTTTCAAAATACGTGAAATCTGTCAAAAAAGACACTCTGTAGCTCACCCTATTAAAAATTGTGGGAAATCTAAATACAACCAACTCTCAATCATCAAACTTACATACCCAGAGTCTAATAATGTATGCAGAACACTGCAGAAGAAAAAGGAAGAAAAAAAAAATTCTTGCGTGGAAAGAATTTTAAAATCAACTAGGAGACGATAAATAAAAAAACCCAGTAGGGATAAGCAGAGATCATGAAGTACTAGGAAAGGTAAGGAAGAAACCAAAGAGGCAGCTAGACAGATGCAGAGAGACAGCAAAGGAGAGCCAACAGGGAGGAAGGGCTGGAGCAGAATGTTTTGAAGGGGAGGAAAAGTTTGATTTGGCCAAAAAGACTTGGAGGCTGTTGCAGAAAATGGCAAATGTTGTCACTCTAAGAACATACAACACATAAAACTGAATGGAAAGGTCGACAGCAAAAACTGTGATCAGTGAGTAAATAACAGATTATGGAAAAAAAGGAATAAATAATGCTCAAAACGTTGTTAGCAATTTTAATTTACTGTGACCAAAAATTGGAAGCTTTTATAAGCCTGATTTAAGGAGAATGAACTGGCCCAAAGATGCCCCAGCAAGATGATTCCTGCTACTTTGGTCCCTTCTCCAGAGAAGCTGACACTAGAAGAGTTGCTTTCATCTGGCATTTTGCCTGCTACCTTCTGACGGCGTGGTTTAGGGCAGTGAAATGCCTCAAAAGACAGGCAGCATTCAACAGAACACAAATGATGGGACATTCCCAAGACTAAACCCCAAATAAATGAGTTTATTGCATATTAAAAAGTACAACTTCAGTTTATAAAACATCTTACTATAAAGATTTTCATACCTGACTTATTCTTAATAGAGAATAGGAATCTGTATCTTTTTCAAGTCTATCTTTTTTTTTTCCTCCATTCATCAAAACTGATTTCCAAAGTACCAAATTATACTGGCAAAGCATATTTTCTGAAGAAAAAAGAGCAGAAGCCATCAGATTTACATAAAGGAATACAGCTCTTTCTACATGCACTAATATATTGGACAGTGACACAATTAGAGAAGAAAGGTATTTTTTTCTTTTCCTCAAGAAGAGCTGTCTTCATAGTATGTTCAGTTTTTGAGAGGCATCAGCAGGTCATTAAATTTAGGTTTGCCACCGGACAAACCACTTGGTCCCAACATGAAATACGACAATTAATTTGCCATAAAAGAGGCACATGGGAACATTTAGTAGCCTAAGAAATAACTATTATTAATGCAACTACAAAGATGAATGTCTTATTATGACACAAACAGAAGAATTACTAGTATTTTAAGAGGGTTTTGGTGAGCAGTCAACAAGCTGGCAAATTACGTAAAAGTGTTTTAAGTTTTAAGTGATCAAATATTCAAATCAAATATAATTCCACCCAACAAAGATCTTTATTTTTTTAAATATTTTTACTAAAAGCAGGAAATTCACATTTGCTCTCCTGTAGGCACCCCACTTTCATCCATACAGAAGATGCGTGTGTCTTACACACCCATATACAAACACACACCCACAAACGAGGTAAAAAACAAGTGCTGATAATCTAAAAGTATTCCAGGCGATCACAACTCTCAGAACATTAATATTCTTCTAGCTGGGTAGGAAATGTGGGGGTTTTGTTTTACCTTTCAGTCTTTTGAGTAAGGGAGTGAGGCAGGACTACAGGAGGAAGGTGATGAGAGTTTGTCATGCAACACAGATATAACAGTAATAAAATCACCCCTGCAAGGGGCTGGCCTGTGGGCCTATTGGTGACACACATTATGTTGCCATGCAGGAGACTTGTAGTTCAAATTTCAATCTTGGTTTTTAGAAAAGAAGTGAAGAACACTGTAGATTTTGCCTTCAAATCAGAGGAAGGGAATACATATGTTACAACCATAGCTATTTTTGCTGAAAAGTGTGAACACAGTAATCTGAGAACAAGTCTGACTCCTTTCAGCAACTGATGCTACCGTGTCACTGGACCACATTCAAAGAGGAGAAAAGGTGCTACATCTTGCACAGTAGAAGCAAGTAACAGTTAAGACAAGACAGAGTTTATAGGGTTGTGTGAATAAAAGAAAAGTGCATCCATCACTAAAATTATCCTTAATCTGGAAAGGATCTGTTACACTGTATGCTGAAGGAGGAATGTATCAATGGCGACCACCAAGAATGAAGACCACTTTCTCCACTGGAATCACAATACACACAGGGGGCATCTAAGATGTTCCCAACCAAACTGCTACCTGAACATAAATTCACTATGCCCTTGACCCATAAATGGCAAACACGTAATTTAGCTAACACCATATCTGCCAAAGCTGCTGTGAATCTAAATTTCAAAGAAGTTATTGTTTTTCTTAGAGATTCCTAGACAGTTCACCAGGTTGGTGCTAGGTAATTCTCACCTTGAATCAATTTCAACAGGTGATTTGAGTCAAAAGGCCTTGGGATCTGAAAGGTGTCATTCTTGGAAGATGCCTACTCTATTTTATCCCTAATTGAAAAAAATAACAGTAACAAAGAAAACTGGATCTCATTTGGGCACACAACACAGATTATAATTCTTTTATTAACTAAATTATACCTTTTCTGATTAAAAACTTAATGCCAATTCTCATGTAGGAATCAATTATATATTTTATCTCATAGATTAAAACCAGTTAATTTTCTTGTTTTCTTCTCCCCAAGAGTGAAATCAAGGCCATGGTGCTCAGTCACAAGTGTATTCCTTTCATGTCATCCTACTCTCCATGTACTGATCCATCATTCCACTTCAGTTATTCTGGAAAATTGAAAAATAAACATACAGTCACTATTCATGTCTATTTCCTATACATTGATAACCTGATACATTTTTAAAAATTGGTCATCATTTCATATATACAGTATCTAAAAATAAAAAAAAAAACATGTTCAACCCAGATCTGCAAAGGTCAGAGACATAAACCAGGCAAATCATTAGTGTTTTAGTTTCAGTAAGTAAAAGGCCAATGCCACATGAAAATAAAAAGCAACAGTTTGATAATCGCCTTTTGTTGGGAAAATGAGGAAAAGCCAAAAGATGTTGATTTTTCAAAGCAAAATATATTGATCTTAGAATAACATTCTATTATTACATTCACTTTAGATCTGTATCATTCATTCAACTTAAGTGAAGTAAACTTATGATCAAGTCTATGTGAAAAAGGAAATAGTACTTTGTACCTTAGGAAGGTACCATGAACTTCATTCACTAACAAGGCATATACACTGTAAACATTGAGCAGTTGTCAGTAGAAAGAACCCACCAGAGAGACATTTTGGGGGAAAAAAAATCTGATCAGGTAAACAGCAAAATTAAGGGAACTTGAAAAGTCATCACAGATTCCATGTGCTATGAACATACAAATATTCAAAGCAAAACTGCTTTATAATATTTCTAGATAGAGTAGTTAAAAAAAGTCATGTCTAAAGGGAGATTATCAGAGAAGGAAGCACTCAATGTTCTTACACTACATTTCAGAAACAGAGAAAAGAGGTTTAGCTCCTTCCAACAACTACAGAAGAATGACACCACAGCAGGAAAAGAACAAAGAAATTAAAAATCAGAACACAGATCATGACACAATTCCAGGCATCAGTTTTTTTTTTTTTTTTTTTTAAGTATCTTTATTCCTACAACCTTCCTTTTCTTTTTAGGAAGGAAATGACTTGTATAACAAAACATGCATTTCTGTAATAAAGGCTGTGACACAAACATACAAAAGTGGGAGCATTCTATGATTTCCTGTTGAGCACAAGCCTAAACACTGCTTTAAATGTACTTCATTAGCACGTGATTGAAGTGCTTTTAATCCTATGCAAAAACTAGTTACACTCAGCAATACAGCCTCCCATGTTAAATGCTGCACTTTGCTATGTTGTTGTTGTTGTTATGTGCCGTCCACTCGGCACCGACTCATAGCGACCCCTCCTTGGGTTTCCGAGGCAGTATCACTACAGAAGTAGGATTGCCCAACCTTCCTTCCAAGGAGTGGCTGGTGGGTTTGAACCACCAGCCTTCTGGTTAGCAGTCAAGTTCTTTAGCCACTATGCTACCAGAGCTCCTCCTATACCACTTTGCTATAGAGGTGTGCAGTTAGGTCACAGACTTTAAAACAGTAAAATAAAAGTTGATTATTTAAAATATAAAGAAAAGTAAGGAACAACTTTAAACATCAAAGGTATCAAGAAATTTTGGGTAAGGTAAAAACACAAACATCATTATAATGTTAACATAACTGAAGGATTATAATGTTAATATGAAGTCAAAATGAATGTCTGTAGTATTCAGTATCTCAGACTTTTTATCTTTAACTACTAGCAAGTTTATGTCTTTGAAATACTCAATAAAGACTGAAAGTTATCATTAGGATAAATTTCCAGAAAAACAAAAGAAACAAAAGATGGAACAACTAAACATCTCTTTTTTTAAATCCTATGTTTCAAAAGGTTAGAACCAAGTTCTTGCTCAGAAAAGCAGAGATATAAAAATGCCTGTGAGTTAAATGCAACAAAAACAGCAAGACAAACAAAAGAAACTCTGTCAAAATAATAAAGATTTGTGTCATATTTATGTGTTTTATAAAAACCATTTTAAAGCTGATCACAAGACACTGAATCTCCTTGCTGCGAGCTATATGAATGGAGAATCTGATTAGTGATACCCTACAACTTTTATATTCCTAGTTTTGTAATTTTTAACAAAGTAGATTTAAATTTTATAAATCAAGATATTTGGATCTTTACAATTTGACAGTGTCTCTTTAGTTTTTTTTTTTTTAAGCTGTAATTTCAAGAAGCTATTTTATTGCTTTTTAATGCTTACGTTTTAACCAATTTAAAACTGTAGTTGCATTTTATACTTACCATCATTCATCATTCCTTTTGATTCTTTAAATGCTAAGAATTAGTAAGAGGCCAAGCAGGCAGTTAGTGTGGTTCCACAATTAGAAATCAGTTCTAAATAAATAAACATGCAGTAATATCATGCTAACTGCTCCACAACTACATGGACAAATTGATTTTAAGACTATCATTTTATTACAATAGGTCACACCCAAGGCCATCCTTTAAAGAAAGCAGATTCAGTTGGAAATATGGGTCTCTATTTAAGAAGAAAGTGAGACATTCTGATCTCACTCCATGGTGACAGCCTGTATCTTTCTGAAATTTGTAAATCAGAAATTAAAATCACTTAGGGTTATTCTCTACTAGAGGTGTTACACTTCATCTTGGACAATATAAAAAGGGAATGGTATTCTTAACCAAATATGAAGTGGCTGAGGCCACAACATTTTTCCCAGAGGTGAGAATATCACAAGAGCAATATTCTTAATTCTTGATGAAAAATTAGGAAAAGAAAAGTTAAGGCAAGAGAAGAAACAAAATTCTTCCCAAGTCATAGAGGGAATATTTAAACTGTTTTGGGGACCAGTTCAAATTATGATCTGGTGATGGGTCAAGAATATACAAGTGTTTAATAACCACGTACCATTAAGGGGTTCCTCTACAGCTTTCTGGAAAATATTTAAAATATATATACATAAAAATAGAACTTACATCATGTCCTTTTTATACTAAAATTTATATACACTAACATTTAAACTACAGTGGACCCTCCATATCCTCAGGTTCCACATCCACAGATTCAACTAATCATAGAACAAAAATATTGGGGATTGGAGAGGAAGGGCAATTTAAGTGGTCAAAGCAATCCCCTAAAGGATAAGCGGAGTGTAAAGTGCTATTTACATAGCATTTAAGTAGCATTAGATGCGTTAAGTAATCTGGAGATGATTTTAAGTATATGGGAGAAAGTGCTATATTTGCAAATATACCATTTTGCATAAGGGACTTGAGTCTCTGTGGATTCTGGAACCAATTCCTTGGGGATAATGAGGGACAACTGTATACAGCAAACTGTGAATCATGTAGTCTGAAAATATCCTAAGGCAGTAAATACAGGTCAAAGCAAAGCTTGCCAAGTCTAGTGAACAGTTTAATAATAACTTTTATTCTGTAAGTATTATTTTTCTATGCAGAATTTCCCACCCCATCCTGCCTATCCCATTCACAGAAATCCTAGTATCTGAAACAAATTCTTAAAAGCAAACATGAAATAGCAACAATAGACTAAGCAACACAGTTAAACAAGAGATGGGAGCAATGTATCATTTTCAAGCCATGCAAACTGAACTTGGAAGTAGACAAAGAAAATTTGTTAGGATTTAAAGGTCCAGAGACTAGATTAAGTCTAACAGAGGTACTTTAAAAACAGTTGGCTGTTGTGGATGTAGTTATGACACCAGTCTTTATCTGAATAAACACTTGTGGTAACAGGAGCCCCTTGCCTCCCACTGCCTTTTAGCATGTTGTACTGAAGCTTGTCAGACTTAGGAATATATGTAACCTCTATTTCCTACCATAGACAGGAAGTATCCCTTCCAATATTACAGATGAAGTAAACATAATTTATACTATCATGAATCCTTTATAGGAAGCTATATAGTATAATATAGTCCTTTCCAAATCTTATTTACATAAAATACCTCTTCTTGGTCCTATTACCACAATGAGTTTCTATTTATAAAGGCTTTTATCTCCCAATTTATCCACCCCCCCCACCCCCAGTTAGGCACTCTGGTAGCATAGTGCTTAAGGCACTTGACTGCTAACCAGAAGGCTGGTGGTTCAAACCCACCAGCCACTCCTCGGAAGGAAGTTTGGGCAATCCTACTTCTGTAGTGATACTGCCTCGGAAACCCAAGGAGGGGTTGCTATGAGTCAGGGCTGACTCGACGGCACACAACAACAACAACAACCACCCCCAGTTTATCTCTTAAGTTTGCTTTTTTAATTAGAATTTTCTCAGATAGCTTATTATGGTGTTAGATATAGTGAAACTTACAGCTTAATATAATGGAAGAGAAACATTTACAAAAATAGGAGAAAGGGAGAAGGGATGAATCAAAATTCAGAATGGATTTTTTTTAGCAATATTTATATTTATTTTATAGATTATAATTTAATGAAATCAATTTAATATAAGCTTCTCTCCCTGATTTTTAGGTCTGAGATTATCATTCTGGGTCTGCACATCAAATGTGCAACAGGTCCAACAGGTGAGGAATATATACTGGTATCAGCTTCCTTCTGACTGCAGAAATAAGAACCATTATTCCTACACACAAATTTTCCATTTCTGGGTGTGAGAAGTCAGCACAATATCAAAGAATAATTTATTGCATCCCAATGCTACTAAAACAATCAAGCATAGGTTTTAGTAATGAATTAGACGTATTCATGCAAAGTCATGCAATGGCATTAATGTTCTCTTAACTTGGTCTTACACTAAACAGAAAGCAAAGGGGCTCAATAATTCCAACTGCCAGTCCTCAATCTAAATCATCAAGTGTCTCTCCCAATTCATTTAAGAAAATTTAACTTACCCGAGGAGGTTGTAGAGTTTTCTGATTGGAAGCTGATATAATTAAAAAATAGTAATAAGAATTTAATAAATGAAAGAAATTAAGGCAGTAAAATGCTGCATTTTAAAATAATCTGTAGGGCTAAAACTACTGGAGCCAGAGACTTCACTGAAAGAGTTCTAGCTTTGACAGTCTATTCAAATATACAGAACATTCTTGATTAATTGCATTGATAGAATAAAATGATGCAAATAACCACCTACATGAATAAACACACACATATATTCTCTCATTCATGCATGCCAACTCCCAGCCAAATAAGCTATTTGTTAAGCTTCTTGGTGGAAAAACGCTTCCATCTTATCCACTTCTAATGTGAGCTCTGTATTCTTTCCTACTCAACTCAGCCAGATCATGGCACAATGTAGCAACGACCAGCAACTCCATTTACTCATTACCCTTGGCTGACTGCTTCCTTATTAGCTAGTCTTTCTCTCTCTCTTTTTTTTTCCCCCATTCTTCAAGTTTGCCAAGCTCCAGATATCCAACAAACTAAAGAAAATGAATATTCAGACTTCTCTGAGCTTAAAAAATTATCCTAGGCAGTTGGCTACAGCTACAATCAAGCCCTTCTCTATCTATTCCTTCTCAGCTTTCCAAGTCACCCTTTACACTGCTTCTGAAGATGAGGAAATACTGGGCATGAAGAAAGCTAAAAAAAGAGAAAGGAATTACTTCAAATGGGTGGAGGAGATCATTTCTTTATCAAATGCAAGTGAGGAGGCCCTACAGCTGCTAAAAATAGTCCTAAGTACAGAATCAGAGCCTCAATCAGCAACATCCCATGAATCCTTTAATAGGAGGGTAACGCTGCCGGCTACCCTAGTTGGATGATAGCACTGGGCAGACAGAGGCAGGAACCAGGGCACTATTTTAGTTCCCTCTGCTTTTTTTTTACTACCACCTCCCCTGCTCCTACCTTACACCAAGCTTCCAAAGCTGACAGATACACAGGGTGGGACCTGACTCAAGGACAATGGATGTATGGACTAGCAAGAAGCCTACAAGACACTATCAAACAAAGCAAATGTCAACTGACTGGCCTGATAAGATTCTGAAAGAAAAGAGAGAAGATTAGAATGTTGGTGACAGGAAAGGAAGGTGAAAAAATAGGCACAGGAAGTAGACAAGGAGTTCAATGCTTAGCGTCATGGGTAAGAAAAAGCAACTAGTGAGAAAACACGAATTGAATAATAAATAAGAACCTAAAGGAGGGGGTGAGCTAGTTGGTAGTAGGTAAATAAACAAAAAACCAAAAAACTAAATAACTATAATGGACAAAAGGTATCAGTAAAACAAGTCTTGTTGCTGAGAGGGCAACACATCAACTCAATTATCATAGATGTAAGGATACTTCCAGTTCTTAAGCTATATACTCTTCCACTTGCTGTGAGGTTCAGTTAACGTATCTGCTCTTAGGAGATTCCTGTCTTGATCACTGCTAGTGTGTGGCTTTATAATAAACGTTCCTTACTGGAAGCAACTTGCGGGAGGGGTTTTTATCTTTGCAACCAAAAGAGAAGGCAACTTTTTTTTTTTTTTTTTTTAAAGTACTATGAAATAAAATTGGTTGGGAATACTGAAGCCCCAAGTTTAGCAGCCTCCCAAATAAACCAAGTAGAATTGTGGAACTTTATTAGAGACCACCATGACAGTTACCTACATATACAATCCACTTCAACAAAACCAAAAGCACTCCCTTGGCACAGTGGTTACAGCATTCGGCTGCTAGCCATAAGATTCAGTGGCTCAAATCTACCAGCTGCTGCATGGGAGAAAGATGAAGCAATCTGCTTCTGTAAAGATTTACAGCCTTGGAAACTCTATAGGGAAAGTTCTACTCTGTCCTATAGAGTTGCTATGAGTTGGAACAGACTCCATGGCAGTGGGTTTTCTTTTGGTTTGGTTTTCAATTAAACCCTGCCCTGTATCTATGTTCTATAAACCCAGACCCAAATACATATAGTTGTTGTTGTCATGTGCTATTGAGTCGGACCTGACTCACAGCGACCCCTCCTTGGGTTTCCGAGGCAGTATCACTATGGAAGTAGATTGCCCAACCTTCCTTCAGAGCAGTGACTAGTGTGTTTGAACTGTCAGCCTTCTGGTTAGCAGTCAAGTGCCTTAGGCACTACGCTACCAGAGCTCCTATATACATATATATATATACACACAAATATGCATAAGGAGCTCTGGTGGTGGCACTGTGGTTAAGGCATTTGGCTACTAACCAAAGGCTGGCAGTTCAAACCCGATAGGCAATCTGTAAGAGAAAGATGAGGCAGTCTGCCGTCATAAAGATTTACAGCCTTGGAAATCCTATGGGGTTGCTATGAGTTGTAATCTACTAACAGGATTTTTTTTTAATGCATATGCACATATATACACACACATACAAATACAACACATCATTCTAAAATATCTTCAATGCTGTGGTAAATGTGGTTTCTGACTGCTACTGGGTTGATCTGTATCAAAACACAAAACTATGCCTTTGTATGGAATTAACTGATAATAGTCTCGGAAGGAAGGTTGGGCATTCCTACTTCCGTAGTGATACTGCCTCCGAAACCCAAGGAGGGGTCGCTATGAGTCGGGGCCAACTTGATGGCAAATAACAACAACAACAAGCTTTAAAAAATGGAAGTGTTAACTCTTATAAATGATGGATATAAATACTTTATCCATGTAGCAAGCTGAACTTTAGTGAGTTGAGTTAGTTCCTTTTAATCATTTATATGCTCCCACATTTACTGTTCTCAGTCCTTTATCTCATTTTATAAAATTAAAACACTTCCAATAAAAAAAAAATAAAAAAAAAGGATAAAAGAAAAGGCAAATCAAAATCCTACTCTTTAAAGTAACAATTAAGGCTACCAATTTAAAATTGGAAATAATAAAAATTATAAAAGTTAAAATTTTCATAAGTACATTAACTCACTCTTAAAAAGATACATTTTTTTTAACTATCTGAGGATTTTATTGCATTTAGTTCAATACACATATACAAGGCTCTTCTAAAGAGCATCTATAATGAATGAAAATTATTTCAGAAATTTAAAATTTTTATTCCATGATACAAAAGCTCAAATTTTCAACCTTAATATTACATGTACTCATATTTACACATTTAAATTACATAAGAAAAACACATGAATTTTCCTAGTCTACCACATTATCCAGAGAGCAACTTTCCTATACCTTTTTTCTTCTTGCCCTTCAACTGACCAAAGATGTGCCTTTCAAAACTGGCATCTGTTGATTTGAAGGGTTCATTTAGTGTATCACTAAATGTGAGTAAAATTGGACTAAATTCTTAATTTATACATGGTACATTTATATATTAAACTATGTTAAAGGCAAAAATAATTTTGGGATCTTTTTAGGATTTTACTTTCATTTTAATTCAATGTGAGAACAGCAATGTTTTTAATTACACTGGGTTCACAGGATTCCCAGGGATATAACTGATGGAGAAGGGAGGAGATCAAGGAGGTGGCAATTAGTACCTACTGCCACTTTAGTGCCATCAGGCCTGATGGCAACACCTCATTCTTTGCTATACATGGAAGACATGTGAAAGCATGGGAAGTAAATGAAGGGCAATGAAGATAATAAGGAAAAACAAGAACAAAGAGTTGACCATCCATCAAAGACACCTTATACTACACTTCATTAACAGTGGTGCAGGTATTCTAGGCCAAGTACTATTCTAGAGTATTCAAGGAGAAAAAGAAAATCAGCAGTGTCATCTTCAAGAACAAGTCTCATGGTGTTCAGACAACACAACAAAAACAGAATATGCATCAACCTTCATGATGCTCACTGTAGCTACAAAATGAGTATCACTCTGCTTTAGAAGTCTTCCTTGTGTTTATGATCTTGTGTGGCATGAAAGAAAATGTCACTGAGAAATAACTCTGATTTATGAACACAAATACTAAAGGCAGTAGGATTGTAGTTAAGTATTTTAACTTGTTTATCTAAGAAGATTAAGGAGGACAGAGAATGAGAAACAGAATCAAATTCAATTATCACTCACCAAGAGCTAAATTTCAGAAACTGTAAAATTTCTTTGAAAATACTATGCAAGTCATATGGGAAAATTATTTGACTATAATAACTCAAGTTTTACATTAATTCTTAGAAACACATGGTAAAGTTTACCTTAAAGCAAAGCAAAAACAGTGACTTTTTACTCCATTAATTTAAATTTTTTGATTATTTTGACAGGAGATCAAGAGGTTGCTTTACTCTGGTAACATAGTTCCTAAGGCACTTGACTGCTTACCAGAAGGCTGGCGGTTCAAACCCACCAGCCACTCCTCGGAAAGAAGGTTGGGGCAATCTACTTCCGTAGTGATACTGCCTTGGAAACCCAAGGAGGGGTCGCTATGAGTCGGGTCCGACTCGACGGCACATAACAACAACAACAACATTACTTCATAAATAAACAAAAAGGGAAACTAGTATAATGGAACTCTAGGGAACATCTTTAGCTTAGATAAGACAACAAACTAGTTGAACGCATTATTAAAACCATCTAACTTTGTGTATTCAAAATAAGAATATATGTAGAAACCTGTTACTTGAAAAATGCAGATTAAATACAAAGTTTAGTACCAACAAAGTTAACTTCATCTTTCCTAAGAATTGACATTAAAAGTAGTAAAAGTCTAAAACTTAAAACTCAGTGGTGTTGTAATAGTGGTTTTAACTAAAAATGTTTTAAAGTCATGTTTCAGAGGTCATTGCTATTTAACAAAATTGATGGATTTCAATTTCAATTCCGGTTTACTTATGGGACCACATCGTAAATAGTCTACAAGAAGAAAAGCAACTGATAAGCAAATGTTGTTGTTATTGTTATGTGCCGTAGAGTCAGACCTGACTCATAGCCACCCCTCCTTGGGTTTCTGAGGTGGTATCACTAAGGAAGTAGATTGTCCAATCTTCCCTCTGAGGAGTGGCTGGTGGGTTTGAACCACCAGCCTTCTGGTTAGCAGTCAAGTAGGTCTCTGCAAAAGAGTGCTATCATAGCAACAATGGGCCCTTTAAAGATACATTTCTATATTTAAAATGGAAACTCAAATATTTCTCCCTATGGTTAGCGTAAGAAATTGATGCATTCCATTTCCTGTTACACTAAATTATAATCTAAACTTTTCATTACTGTATATACTATTTATCCCTTTACTTGAAATCATTCCAATTTTACTGTTAAAAATACAGTAGCATTTGTTTTATTTCCTCATATTTGGAATCATCTATACATCTATTTGGGCCTAAGTTACAAAAATCAAGCAGAAGCATTTTTCAGTTACACAGCTGAAACTCTGTAACTGTGAAACTGGCATAGGTTAACAAAAATAAGATCAACTTACCCACAAATTTCATATAAACTAGTCCAAGTAATTCTGCTAGAGCTATGATACCCAAACCTGAAATCAGAAGAGGTCCCTGCACTGGGGTACATTCTGTAAAAACAAATGAAATATTAGAAATTGACCAAAAAAAAAAAAAAAGACAAAATTTTTAAAAGAAATGACAATAATAGCAATAATACCAAGTCTGTAAGGAGAGTAATTTATGTCTAATTATCAAGGAACAAAATTTATTCATATTTTCATTATTAATAATTCAGTGAAATGACTCCAAATTATTTTAAGAAAAAAGCACCTGTTTGCATAATACGCACTTTATCACATCAAAACTAATGAAAAATAGGGTATAAAGCCTCAGATTGTTGCTTTTGGCTCCAACTGGAGACTGGTTATTTTTAAAAGTTCTCTCGTAAATATAGGAATAGAGGTGTGGCTGCAAAAACAATCGGCCCACAAGCTACACACAGCCTATGTTCTAGTAGCAATGCGGAAATCACTACTCTCAATGGGGGTGGGTTGAAGGGTGGAATGAGTTACAAATGGAAAGCTTTGTCCAAGGGAAATTCCTAGTAAAACAAACTGGGACAACAGAAAAATATGACCCTTACCTGAGATACAGAGGCTTAATCCAACCAAAGCAAGTATATAACCCAGAACCTGAAGAATCAATGTGGCAATGGCAAAGGAGGTCATCTCAAAAGCTGGGGGAAGGAAAAGCGTATAACAGAAGCATGTTAAAGAGTACTTTTCATCATTCCTACTTGTACTTTGTATAATGAAGAACAATAAATACTCTATGACCCTGGAGTTCCTTGTCAGATTGTAGATGCTTTTTGCATGACCTAAACCTTCCACACAAGCAGTCAGCTCCTGATTCACACTTACTCAGCAGCATTTTATTTTTAGTCAGCTGAAGTGGAGCGGCAGTTTTTACCCCAAAGCCTATTAGAATGATGCTGCTTTACCACACTCCTGCATTTTACAATATGAACGGCTATTATACATAGCTTCTCCACATGCATGTAAAATTGCTCTGGTGGAAAGAACCACTATGCAAACATGCCACTTTGAACATCATAACCTCTATCTTACACATCTAGAAGATCTGTTATTCTATAATAAACCAATAACTTTACAATGCATAGCAAGCCAGAGTTAGGCTTTAAGACTAAAAGTTCAATGTACAAATAGGAAAAAAAAATACTCTTTAATAATCATAAAAACGTGATTTACTTGCAAAATGCAGTGAAACTAATATGGATTACAGTTTGGATAATCAGGCCAATTTTTGTTAAAATACCATGTTAAAGTTTGCTAACAACTATAAAGAAATATACTATTGTTTGTGATTTATAACCCTTTTTTGTAGAACTAGTCTTTTTCTATGCAAAATATTAGCAAAAAGAAGAGAAATGGTATGTCTGACATCTACTTTTAACTTCAAAAAATTGAAAAAAAATAAGAGAGAATCATTAAGAAAGTATATAGCATAATTTAGGATCTATTGACTGGTATCAAATATATATATAAGATCACTTTCTACAAAATAATTCAGTGTCTTGAAAACCTAGGATAACCTTAAAATGAATTCAAATGGGGAAAATGTCTCTAATAGCTTGAAAAGCCTTTTAACAAATGTACTTTTATTGAGTTGTAAAAAAAAAGAATTATTTTCACTTAAGATGCTGTTTTTTAAATGAATTGAAATCATACTATAACAAAAATACTCACCTGTCATAAATGCACAGTACTGAAGTAATACTAACATCACTGTAGGAATTACTATTAAACCAAGCCCAGAAGCATTCTTTATTGAATATTCACCTGTTAATAAATAAACATGTTAAAATATTTTCCTACATACACCCTATTCTATGGGAAGTTAAAGCACTTAATTTTTTAAATATATTAATCTCACCACTACCCTTATAAACTATGAAAAGGTTAAAATATATATAAACTTCTTCACAAAACATCAAATAAAATGAACTATTTTTCCATTATTTAACACTAAACTCAGGACATCTAATTCTTAACATCTAAGTTTCAACATGCTGAAACATTAAATGTTGCTGTTGCTGTTATTTGCCATCGTGTCAGACCCGACTCATAGTGACCTCTCCTTGGGTTTCTGAGGTGGTATCACTACGGAAGTAGATTGCCCAACCTTCCTTCAGAGGAGTGGCTGGTGGTTCAAACTTTTGGTTAACAGTCAAGTGCCTTAGGCACTATGCTAATAGAGCTCCCAAACCTTAAACAGGATCTAAATACTTCCTAGGGACCTTATAGTATTTTAAATGAGAAACTTTGGAGCATCTTTTACTATCCCTTTCATGTAAAGTCAATCAGTTGTTCTTTCAAGTTTTCTTCTGAAAACCTTCCTCTTTATTCCTCCACTCCCTACAGCTGCAAAAATAACTGTCAAATTGATGTTCCTAAACATTACACCTACATTGCTTTTTTCTCAAGAAAGCAATGGCTTTCTACTGTCTAGCAATTTGACTTCAAATATTTGTTTTTCTTTCTATGAGCTTCCTGCCCTTAATTCCCACTGCACGCCCCCCCCCCCCAGCAATATAATTTCAATTTCAGGCTGACTTGTTCTCCATGTCCATTCCCATTTTCATGTCTTGGCCAATGAAGTCTGCCTCTGCAGTGGTTCCAAAGATACATGCATCTCCTAATCTCCCAAAGTTGTGAATATTAGCTTACTGGGCAAAAGACTGAGTACTTTATGACAAAAAAATATGATTAAGGATGTTCATATGCTGGATTATCTGGGTGGACCTGACAAGTGTCCACAGAAGATAAAGACAGAGAGAAGCCTGAAGAGACACAAAGGAGAAGACAGTGAGATGAGAAGGAAGCAATGTGACTACAGAGGCAAGAGTATAGTAAAGCAGCCAGAAGTCAAGGAACACCAATGAGCTTTTCCCAATAGCCTTGAGAAGTAATGTGGCTCTGCTGTGACCTTGACTCCGTATTTCTGCCCTCCAGAACTGTTGAGAGAATTTTTGTTGAATTAAGCCACACAGTTTATAATAATTTGTTATGATAGCCCCAGGAAAATAACAGATTTCATTATCAGGAAGTGGAGTGTTGCTGTAACAAATACCTAAAATTGTGGAAGTTGCTTTGGAACTGGATAATGGATAGAAAGTGGTAGAATTTTGAGGCACTTGACAGAAAAAATTTAGACTGCCTTAAATGAACCATTGATAGAAGTAATATTTATTGTTAAATGCCAAAGGTGCTTCTGCTGAGGGCTAGGAAGGAAATGAGAACATGTTATTGGAACTAGAATAAAACTGATCCTTGTTATATAGTGGCAGAAATCTTGGCTGAATTGTGTCATCTAGTTGTATGGAAAGCAGAACTTATAAGTGATAATTTTGGATATTTAGCAGAGGAGATTTCCAAAGTGTTGAAGGTGTGGCCTGGCTGCTTCTTGCTCCTTATAGTAAATGTGAGAGGAAAGAGAAATAGAGGCAGGAGTTATTAAACAAAAAGGAAACAGCGCTCAATCATTTGGGAAATTATCTGCCTATACAGACCGCAAAAGGTGCTGAAATTATTAGAGTCACTGTTAGGAAATCATGTTCTAGAAAGAAAGCCAAAGGTGTATAAATGGCAATCTGGCTAAAGAAATTAGGCATGTGACTCATGGATCCAGTCAACAATCTCAGCAGAAGTAAGGAATAGAGATGGGATTTTCCAGGAAAGATCTGGAGAGGATTCTCTTGTCCAATACTGTGAATCTCTATGATCTATACAGGAGAGAGCCATAGGGTTTTTGAGAATGCTGTATCAACAGAAGTACTGGCAGCATGGACCAAAGGGACTGAGAATGGATTCAATGCAAGAAGGCTACCAGATTCCTAAAATTCTATAGGAAGAAACAGGCCAATAAAAACACTCACCAACAAACATATGTCACCCTTCAAAAATAAGGAAGAATAACACTAAGAGCATTTAGATGATGAAATCTGGCACTTTGGGTTGATATTTACTTGGTATTTTTGTCCTGAAGTGATACTATAATGGGTTGAGACTTTTGGAGATGGTGGGATGTGGTGTATGTATTTTGCACATGGAATGAACATGACTCTTTAGAGGCCAAAGGGTAGATAATAGTGGATTGAATGGTGACCCCAAAGACATAATCTCCAGACCTATGAATAGTATCTTATATGACAAAAGAGATATTAAGAATGTTGAGAAGAAAAGCTTATCCTGGACTATCTATGAGGATCCTAAATCCAATGACAAGTGTCCTTAAAGAAGAAAAAAAAGAGGGAGCTCACACACACACACACACACACACACACAGAATACAGAGAGAAAAGGAAGCAATATGACCATGGAGTGATGTGGCCACCCAAGTCACAGAACACTTGTAGCCACCAGAAGCTAGCAGTGGTAGGACTTAACTTTCTCATAGAGCCTCAAAGGGAATGAGCTCTGCTGACACCTTGATTTCAGACTTCTGGCCTCCAGAATTCTCATATAATTTCTGTTGTCTAAGCTACTCAGTTTGCAGTAATTCATTACAGCAGCTCTGGGAAACTAATATACCCTTCTTTGGAATTCCCTCATCTACATTAACCCTGCCCTCCCTTACAGTAACTATACACCTTACCTGGGATGCAAAGAATGGCTCCAACAATAATGACTATGGTGAGCATTAGTCCAGCAACAAGTAGGAGAATGGTTTTCTCATTCGTACGATTCGATTTATATTTAAGTGCTTAAAACAAACAAACAAAGAATTACATAAACTCAATGAGAAGAAGTGAAGTCATTTCTGTAACTGGTGAAGTACAAAGACAAACTGATTAACTTACTGTAACTTATTAACCTTTCAGAAATAATTTCTTCATATCATGTCAGTCTACTTCAAATCCTTCTCATAATCAATGGATAAATAATGTCATGGCAGTATAAACATGGTTGCTGAATGTATAGTTGAAGCTTTATGGCCCCCTGCCACATTTTAAAAAATGAAGTTATATATACTACTTTTTCAATATCAGCATTATTAACATTTTGGGTCAGATAAATCTTTGCTGTGGGGGGCTGTCTTGTGCATTATAAAATGTTTAGTAGTATCCCTGCCTTCTATATGCTTGATGCCAGGAACAACTTTCTAGTTATGTCAATCAAAACTGTCTCCAGACATTGCCAAATGTTACTTGTGGAGAAAAACTGCCCCAGGTTCACAACAATGGTATACATAATGCTGTTGAAAACAACTGGATAACTGGCAAGACTGAGAAAAGAAAGGTCTGTTCCATATTATATAAAATTAGTAAAAAATCAGGAAAGGTATTTTGGAAAAAAGGATAAAATAAACATTGGATAAATCATACTCTAGTGAAATCACCAGGAGGAAGAATGCTTAAATTGATCCAACTAAAATAATTTAATAAACAATAAAGATGCAGTAGGACTCATGATAAATGTTATCATTTCTGATACTAGCTTTAGTGTCAAGTATCTTGTACTTAGTTCCTGAAAGCATAATGTAATTGATAAGCCTAAAAATGCTTTTTCTTTTACTATTCATCTTCTTGGTTTTGTTCAGGTTAATATTAACATTATTTTTTCACCAAGACAGTTGTTAAAAGTAACCTAAAAGCAGACTGAGTAGTAGAGAGAAAATGTGTGGTTAAAATTCTGCTGAATGTCATCCACACATGGAGTTCTATATGCCAGTATCAAAGGGAGACTGTCCTGAGGAGGGACAAAAACAACTTTAATGTTATAGTCAGTTGGTAATTTTTTTCCCTAAAATGATAAACAGTTAAAATACAGTAAAAACAACAAACAAACCCTAAATGACCTTGATAAAATTTATGTTTAAGAAAAACTAAAGACATTTGAGAGATTTTTAAATCTCTCTGGTGATGTACTGTCTAAGGCATTTTTGACTGCTAACCAGAAGGCTGGCAGTTCAAACCCACCAGCCACTCCTCAGAATGACGGTTGGCCAATCTACTTCCGTAGTGATACTGCCTCAGAAACCCAAGAAGGGGTCACTGTGAGTCGGATCCAACTCAACGGCAGTAAGTTTACCTACTGATACTTTAGAAGGTAACCAGAACTTTATTCTCTTTAGGGCAGGACTTTGAACCAGTTCATTCTGGTCTGTTTTGGTTTGAACCTCTGCTGACAATTTGCATTCCTAGGTTATGCTAATACTGCTGGTTAGGGACCAATTCTGAGAACCACTGGTGGAGCAGTGGTTCTCAAAATTTATTATACATAAGAATCCCCTGGGGATCTTGTTAAAAGGTAGATTCTGATTCAGTGTATCTAGGGTGAAAATGAAAATTCTCAGCAGAAGTTTGATTCAGAACAAGTTCAAACCCCTGCTTTAGGGGGAGAAAGAAAAGTAATAAATTATCAATCCTGCTGCTGGCTAACGGAAATCCACATTTATCTGAAATGAGTAAGAAATACCACATAGCAAGTTCCTCAAGTTTTTATTTGATCTGTTATCTCCATCCAGTCTTCAAATTTATGTAGCTACTACTTAGTCATTTCCAGCCTTCTTAGAAGGCACTGAAAGAGTTTACACAGTTTTGCTGTTTCCCAGGTTTAAATACTAGCTAGGATGAAATTGAGTGTATTGGTCACAAAAGGCATAAGCACAGGCAGAAAACAGAATTTTACCTTAGACGTATGGCATGTTTTCCATTTTAATCCAATGGATACAAATGAACCAAACTCACTGCCATCAAGTTGATTCCAACTCATAGTGACCCCCTTTGAGTTTTCAAGGTGGTAAATCTTTATGGAAGTGGATTGCCCAGTCTTCCTTCCACAGAGTGGCTGGTGGGTCTCAATTGCCAACCTTCTGGTCAGCAGTCAAATGCCTTAAGCACTATGTCATCAGAGCTCCTTAATCCAATGGATACTGTTATCTAAATAGCTCTAAAGTTCTCCAAAAAGTAATAAAATAGAAGCTGTTTCAAATGTACCTCATAACCAATCAAATATTCCAAGAGACTTTTCCAGGTTTAATTCAATGCATAAAAGAGCTACTATGATCAAGCAATAAGAACTCACCATAAAGTACAGTAGAATTTCATGCAAAAATGGCTGATTTACACTGTTATTAACAACAATAAAGTGCTCGAACCTCAACACTTAGAAGAATTACAGGAGAAAAATGTCACCACCAACAACAAACACAAAACACTATTACAGTGTTCTATTATAAAATAGCCTTCTTCTCTTTGAGTACAAACACACTACATATTAAGAACCCCTGGTGGTGCAAGCACTTGGTTCCTAAATGGTTCCTAAATGGTTAAAGCACTTGGTTCCTAAAAAGGTTGGCAGTTTGAGCCCACCAGCTGCTCTGCAGGAGAAAGTTGAGGTAGTCTGCTTCTGTAAAGAGTACCCAATCCACTCCCATTGAGTCAATTCCAACTCATAGTGACCCCCATTGGGTTTCAAAGGCACTAAATCTCCTCGGAAGGCAGGTTGGGCAATCTTACTTCCGTAGTGATACTGCCTCGGAAACCCAAGGAGGGGTTGCTATGAGTCGGGGCCGACTCGACGGCACATAACAACAACAACAACAAATCTTTATGAATGTAGATTGCTCATGTTCCTTCCATTGAATGGCTGGTGGATTTAAACCATAAAGATGACAGCCTTGGAAACCTTATACGGCAGTTCTACTCTGTACCACAGGGTCACTATGAATCAGGACAACAGTGGATTACACTAATATTGGATGTAGTTTTATTTGCAGTTGATTGACTCAACTATTTCTTCTCAGGATGACCTTAAACTCTTCCTTAAATTAAGCAGCTACTTCCAACAAATATATTAGTGGGATCTGCTTAAGTAAACCAGAGGTTATGAAACAATCTCTATATTTTCTTTAGTGAGCCTTTCAAAAGAGTTTCTTCTAGCCAATTTCTTTGCCAGTAAGCCCTAGGGATACAGGTGAGGAGAGACAACTCAGGGACACCCAAAGCAGCAGGCAGGAAGAGCAAGAGAAAGGGGATTAAAAGCCAGGAAGCCAGAGAGAAGAGTAATCAGCCGAAGGGATTAGGTGAGGAGAGGAAACTCAGGCCCACCCAAAGCAGCAGGACGGCAAAGCAGGAGAAAGGGGATAAAAGCCAGGAACCCGGACATAAGAGCAATAAGCTCGAGGGATACAGGTGAGGAGAGACAACTCAGGGATGCCCAAAGCAGCAGGCCAGAAGAGCAGGAGAAAGGGGATTAAAAGCCAGGAACACAGATAGAGGAACAGTCAGCCACAGGGACCCAGGTGGGGGTGATACGAGAGGTCCCCAACAGCAAGACAAACTTGTCTGTCGGTTTGTCCTACTGTGGTGACATGTAGAC